ATGTCCATGTCCTCATCACGCTTGTCGCTGCGCTGCCGTCGCCACCTCCTTGCCTCGTTTTTCTGGTCCTGGCTCAGCATAAACTGCACGAGAACGCGCGAGGTGTTTACAGTGTTCATGACTGCTGTCTTGAGCTGAGCGGGCTCCATGCTTGCCGTGGTATGGAGTCTGCAGTGTTCACCCAGGAAAAAAGGCGCGAAATGGTTGTCTGCCGTTGCTTTCATGGAGGGAGGGGTGAGGCTGTACCCAGAACCACCTGCAACAATGTTTTTTGCCCCATCAGGCACTGGGATCTCAACCCAGAATTCCAATGGGCGGGGGAGACTGCAGGAAATATGGGATAGCTACCCACAGTGCAACGCTCCGGAAATCGACGCTAGCCCCGGTGCATGGACGCACACTGCCGAATTAATGTGCTTAGTGTGGCTGCATACATTTGACTTTATACAATCTGTTTCCAAAATTCGAATTATATAAATTTGGATTAATCTCGTACTGTAGACATACCCTGTGTCACAGATTCAAGCGGTTCATATACTTACTGACAATACCACCACGATGTAATATGTGAACAAACAAACAAAGGGGAGCACACTCTGGGTTGCTATGCCTAGAGGCGATCATGCTGTGGCAGTTCTGCATCAAGGAGAATATTGCTCTGATAAGTATCAGAGGGGTAGCCGTGTTAGTCTGGATCTGTAAAAAGCAACAGAGAGTCCTGTGGCACCTTTAAGACTAACAGATGTATTGGAGCATAAGCTTTCGTGGGTGAATGCCCACTTCGTCGGATGCATTGCTCTGATAGCCATTCACTTGCCTGGGGTTCAGAATTATCTCGCAGACCATCTCAATAGGTATTTTTCCCTGAGTCACGAATGGTCCCTGAAGACAAATTACCTTTGGGTCATCTTCACTGCTTGGGGCATCCCAATGATCAACCTGTTTGCTACAAGGGACAACAGGAAACGTCATCTGTTCTGCTCTTAAGAGGGCCTCAAGTACAAGCTCCCTGTCTGATGCTTTCCACCTCATCTGGCAGTTGGCTGTCTTGTATGCCTTTCCCCCAATCCTGATCATACCTCAGGTCATCCTCAAGCTCAAGGCAGATCAGACAATGCTCATTCTCATCGCCCCAGCATGGCCAAGACAGTGCTGGTTGTCCGACCTTTTCGCACTCTATTCAGCCTCTCATATAGCTTCCTCCCCATCCCAACTTACTCACTCAGAACCAAACACACACCTTGCATCCTGCACTCAGCTCCCTGAATCTCACAGTGTGTCTGCTGTATGGCTGAATGAGAAGGAAGAGCAGTGTTTGGCAGCTGTCCAACAGGTCCTCCTTAACAGTAGAAAAGCATCCACTAGGATGGCCTATCCAGCTAAATGGAAATGATTTTCTGTGTGGTCATTAAGCCAACCGAAGCCAACCAATACTGGCCTCTATCTAGGACATTTTGGAGTACCTGCTTGTGTTTAGTTCATTAAAAGTGCATCTGGCAGCGATACTGGCATTTCATCCCCCCATTCAGGGGGAAAAAATCAGTCTTCTCCAATGCCATGGTAACAAGATTCTTAAAAGGGCTCCTTTGTCTACATCCACCCAGTCTGAGAGCCAGTTACTCTGTGGGAACCTTAACGCAGTCCTAGCATCCTTATTGGGATCTCTGCTCGTGCCCCTGGTGGCTTGTCCCTTTCTGTTTTGTGTCAGAAAACTGCATTCCTGGAAGCGATAACCTCTGCAAGGAGAGTGTGAGAGCTGCAGGCTCTTATAGCAGAGCCTCCTTATACACAATTTTCCAAAGACAAGGTGACTATGATCCACTCACAATTTTTGTCTTAAGTGGTCTCTCAATTTCATTTGAACCACATGGTATATTTACCTGTGTTCTCTTCTAAGCCGCACTCATCTCTGGAGGAGCAGCATCTCCATACCTTAGATGTCCAGTGATGGACATCTTTTATCTGGACAGGACTAGACCATTTTATGCTTTACCTCATTTGTTTGTGTCATGTGCAGATCGCATGAAGGGTCATGTGGTCTCTTTGCAGATGATCTCCAAATGGATAACATCCTGCATCAAAAATGCATATGAAATAGCCTCGGCTATGCTCCCTCAGCAGATGTGAGTTCATTCTACGAGGGCGCAAGGAACATCCATAGCATGCCTTAGTGACATTTCCATATTTTTGACATTTGCAGGGCTGCTGTGTGGTCATTGATACATACATTCAAAAACAATTACGCCATAACCACATCTTCCATAGCCCCACAGTCCTTATTTAGGTAGACTACGAGCGCTATTTCCGGGCGAGGGATACTTCTTGTGAGTCACCTAAGTGGTATACACGTCTGCATCTACTTGAAGAAGAAACAACCGTTACTTACTGTAACGTGTTCTTTGAATCCAATATGTATTCCACGACCCACCCTCCATCCCCTCTGCATCGAAGTCTTGTGTCCGGGCGTTTGGTGAGAAGGAACTGAGGGAGGGGCATGGCGGCACTACATCACATAGCCAAAGGAGGAGTTATGGCCACAAGATGCAAGTGCCGCCCCTCTGTGGGTACTGCTAGGCAAATTTATCCTGCTCCAATGTGCTGGGCAAGCACATACCTAAGTGGAATACATGTTGGCATCATATCTCAAAGAACCATAGTTTCAATAAGTAACCATTTCTTTCATGACTCCCTTTCACACAGCTGCATCTTTTACATTATGCTTTTATAACCCACCCAGAAATACTTCTAATACAAAATGAGGGTCATTCTATGCCCAGATACAAAAGGCTGTAATACCTATCACAAGTATCACTTTTAGCTGCTGGCAGTCTAAGGTGCAAACATCCTGCAGTTTTTCCTCAAGCGAGATGGATGAATACCTTAAACATTTTTTTAAAATACCTTGTTTGTGTTAGCAAATATTCTAGTGATTGCATTTACAGGTAGATGTGTTTGCAGACACAATGAATTTTATATTAAAGAATATTTGCAGAAATCAAATTTTGAGTTTGCAAAAGAAACATGATTCCAGGAGTTATGCTGATCCAGTCAAGAATATCAGACATCAAATACTTACAATGAACTGCTAATTGTACAAGAATGATTTGTGAATTGATATATGGCTACAGACCAAGAGCTATTCACAGACATTACTCTGTAAATACTTGCAAACAGGAAATACATTTAAAATCATCAGCTGCTTGGGGACAGCTAAACTCATTGAAAGAAGTAGTCTCAGCTCTACTCCCTCAGCTCTCAAACTACTCAAACGTAGGCCTGAAAGCCCATTAATCCAGACTAGTTTGTGTGGTTTTGATTCTAGTTCAACAGTTTCATGATTGCGTGATTGATTTGTAATTTTACTGTTATCCATAAAATCTTTGTATTGCACAGACTCACGATAAGGATCTCTACAATGAACTTAATATTTTCTTCTGACAGACAGAAGACTGCAATCAGTTCTTATTTCCACCACATTTTTAGGATGAAAACTGAGAGCAGTGAAGTCTGAAATGTGAGTCGTGTCTACAACACTGCTTTAGGCTGAAATCATGCTGTCCAGGGGATTCAAATGTTAACAACGGAAAAGCATGTTTGCATTCCTCATATTATTTAATTATATTTAAAAGTGGCTGCAATGCACTTTAAAAGATGTTTGTTGGAAAACTGAAGCATAACTGATAATTTCATCAAGTCTGAACAAATACTTGATTTGCATTTTTAAAGCATGCACGCGCTCTCTCACACACACACATTTTAATAATAGTTGACCCTATTGAAATTTCATACTCATATTGAAGGTAATAGCAGTGGCTAGAGCAAGGCAAAATGAAGCTAAGAAACATGTAATAATTCCTACATTGTTATACATATGCACTGCAGTACTAGTCTGGGCCACTCCTACTTTGGTAGAAATGCTATGCCTCTCATAAGCAGAGGGACCCATGCTAAATGTTGACAATATTGCATGGCATTTTGTGGTGCTTACGTACCCCATAGACAAAAACGAAACCCTTAGTCTAGCTGTTTAGGTAAAGACCAGCAAACTCATCTCACTTGTGACTTAAGAAAAGCAATGGCAAGAGTGATTAATGTAAACATTCTAGAGTTTTCCAATTACATAATAGAACTAGTCTAATGTATGAAATATGAGAAAGGAAAATAAAAAATTCCACCTCAACTTATAAGAAAGTAAGCTTGATGAGCTCTCTGAATGTTCATCTTCAAAACATTCTTCCCTTCCTTCATATGTAAACTGGTTATATGGCAAGTACAGAGGTGTAGACTTAGCTGATGGAGACTGCGAGGCCTCAGTCTGTGATGTAGAAGGGCCTGGTTGCTGACTTTCATGCATTTTCACATCACTGTGGTCTGTTACTTTAGACAGGATTCTATCAATGGTTTTGTAATAAGGCCAGTCAGGTGCGACGGTTTCACTATCAGTCATGCATTTTAATTTCCTGTAAAGGCATACAAGAGAAAGGTCTGATAACACAGAAACAAGCATTTCATACAGATCTTAAACCTCTATCTCAAAAATCTGTTTCAGTCACAAAAGATAACACCGATCATTTTACAGGCAAACTAAAAATCCTTAATAAGAATAACATTAGATAGCAGTTTTTGGCCTTTGATATCAAGTGAGATCATCAGTTTATTTTCATGATTTTGTCCAGTGGTGAAAAGGTGCACATTACCCCAAGTTGAGTTCAATATCAGTACTAAAAAATAACAGCTTCTACTAGTGAAGAGAATCCATTTAAATAATTGATAATGAATACACTTGTTATAACAGTGCTGGTTGCTCCCTCTTACAAAATGACAAATCTGATCAGGGTTTAAAACAGCATATTTTAATAAGAGCTAGTGCAGTGGTCACCAACCAGTCAATTGCGATCAACTGGTTGATCCTGGAGCCTCTTTGTTACACAATATCTAGCTATAGGACACACAGTAAATTATCAACTTAATACCAAATACTTTTTTGTTTAGTTGTTAAAATTCTTTGCAATAAAAGTATTTTTCTTCTATTGCCACACATTGCTAGGTACACCTATTTACTTCACAAGGGTTTCCCCATGCAAGTTACAACTGTGCAGTGCTATGTATTGGCAAGGCCTAATGTGCTCAGATTTCATTGTTTTAATGCAGAACATCTCAAACTGTATTATCAATAAACTCACAATCTTAGGGTAAATACTAAATAAAGACTGTAATGATAATTAAAATGTGGGTTTTCGGTGGGAGCTGCTGTTTATTGAACTTCGAAGTCTAAATTAGGAACACTGGGCTCTTTCTGACTGAGTAGAGACGTTTAAGGGCAGGACTATTCTGTTCTGAATCAGATTCTTTGACAACTACCGCTTTCAGATGTCATCAGCCTCTTTGTCTCTTCAACAGTACTCAAATTACTCCCCCTGTATCACAGTCATCCATTATTATGATTTTGAGCTAAATCTCACATCCTTACTCCAGCAAAATTCCCATTAAAGGGAGCAGGAGTTTTGCTTGAGTAAATGTGTCAGGATTTTATTCTTTATGCTTAAGTTCAGCTGTGCACCATGGCCCTCCCTTTATGTAGTACTATCACACTTTTGAAGAAATATCCACAGATTTGTCCAGCTACTGCTAGAGGATGCTATTATTCAGAACTAAATAGGTGTCCGAACACTCCTCTCACTCTAAATGCAGTGTGTGGATTTCTGCTTATTTCAGCAACAGACTGGGAATATTGATCCCCACTGCAAACTGGGCCGGAGCACTCTGCTGACTTAAAAGGGGCAGCAGTGAAGCTGATGGAATCTGGACTCTGGGGTGGAGCAAGACAAAGGGATGATACCGAGGGGAGAGGAAAAGATAGGGAGGGGGAGTCCAGAACCATGGAAAAAAAGTGCGAACATGGCATATAGAAGCAAACAAAGGCCGCATTGGGTAAAACAATAGCATTTTATTTCAACTCTGTCTCTACAACAGCACTCAAATTACTCCCCCGTATCACAGTTGTCCATTATTATGATTTTGCCAGAAGCTGGGAATGGGCGACAGGGAATGGATCACTTGATGATTTCCTGTTCTGTTCATTCCCTCTGGGGCACCTGGCATTGGCCACTGTTGGAAGACAGGATACTGAGCTAGATGGACCTTTGGTCTGACTCAGTATGGTTGTTCTTATGTTCTAACTCTGCCCCACAAAAGCTTTCTCATAAAATGATCAACAGTAAAATAGCTAAGAATGTTAGTATTAAATGGTCATCACCGGTTTCAGAGTTCACGCCTCTCATTTTAGAATCTTTTGCTAAGATTGGAAGTGGAGTCTGAGTAGAAAAGAGGGACAGCTGAGGCCTCTAACCTCTATCAGACCACATTTATCCCTAATGTAGCTCAATTGAAATCAACAGCAGGGATGAATTAAGCTCACTGCTACTATCTTCCAACTTAGTGAGTCAACATAGGATCAAGTCATTGGAGGGTTTTCTTTGCAACTAAACGCAAGATTCTTTTTAATGAAATATTAAATTCTTTAGAAATGGACAGGACCAGAGTAATGCTAGTATAGTGTGTTAGCCCGTACCTACTTAGTCTAACCCTAGAGGCAGTAGAGGGGTGATAGGACCCATGAATAAGGCTCAGATTTTGTCATGGATATTTTTAGTAAAAATCACGGACAGGTCACGGGCAATAAGCAAAAATTAATGCAGCAGACAGAGACAGAGCAGTCCAGAGCCAGGGGCAGCACAGACCAGCCGTGCTGACAGGGAGCCAGGGCTGAGTTACAGTGGGGAGCTGGGGGCCCAGAGCTGGGGAGTGAATGCCCTCTGTGCCACAAGTAACACCAGAGCCGAGTGTGGTGAACAGCTGGGAAGAGTGAGGGGGGACCCTGGGCAGAGGGCCCAGTGCAAGGAGATATCGTCAAACAAGAGGTCTTGCAGGCTGGACTTGGAGGGGGTCCATGACCCCGTTGGGAGGGCCGATATTGGGGAGAAGGGTTCCTGCCAGCTAGAGCCTGAGGGTGTGTGGCAACTGCCAGAGCAGGTGTCTGACCCACAGTGTCACCGCAGCACAGCCAGTGCTTGAGAAGGAGGTCTGGGACATGTGAAGAATAGGCTGTGAACTTCCCTCATATCCCGAAGACTGCTGTTTGTGGTTTCCCCATGCCAGCAGGGCAGGATTACTTGATTCCTTTAACCTGTCTAATTTTTTCCTTATTTTTCTTACTGTCTTGCTCTTTAATAAATTGTATTTGGTTTGAACTTAATGTAGTGTGCAGTGGGCCAGGGTAGTGGCCGTTGTGGAGAGAGTACTCCGGACTGGGGACACTCTACCCCCTGTCCTAAGTGGCCATGACAAAGATTGGGGGTTAAGCCTCCCAGGAATCCTGGGACCACGTTATTAAGGTTCCAAGGACTCTGCCGCATGGAAGAGCAGTCCTTCAAGGTCAGGCAGGCATCTGGGTAAAGGAAGCGGGAGTGAGGACTCAGGTCCTTTCACTATCCGATTCCACAGGGGTAGTGCAGAAGCCAGGAAAGTTCCCCACAAGAGCGGGACCATTCCCCCGCTTACACTTATATAAACTAAATAGGCTCAGGAACTATTTAATAAGATACAGACTTTTTTAATCTCTAAGACACTAGTTTAAATCCAGCCCAGAAGTCACTGAAAATGATCTCAAATGAGTTAGTGATCTCAGTCCCGTTCCCAGTGGACAGAAATTCAAGGTACAAAAATACGTTACCACCACAACTGGCAATCTTGTTGGCCATGTTATTACAGCAAAATCAACAACTGAATGAGCACTGAGATCTAATTAACCACTTTCCAGGACCTTCTGTCATCTGGTTGAGGCACACTGGTGGAGCAAATTGTACTTATATTGCCTCTTTTGTGGATAACTAGGACTGTATTCGCTATATCAATTAATCCAGCAATTTCATGAGTATTAAAATACCTTTAAAATAAAATTATGAAAACATTAAATTTTAGAGCAAGTTTTTAAAGACCATGACTACTTAGAACAAATACATACAATCTATAACTTGATTTTTTTTACTCTTTCTCTGTTCAACACACTATTGCTGGGTTTTGGGGGTATTATTAATTTATTAATAATTATTATTATTATGGTATTTGTTTGATATTACTACTAGCCTGGAGGAATGGAAACAAGCTTCATCTCCTGGGGTTTCTGAAAAAAGCTTTCAAAATAAATAATAAATAACACCGTTCATGCACAAATCAATGATGCAGGAGAGAAAAATGTAGGAAAGTACAATACTTAAATTGTGAGTCTGCAATGAATTATTGAAACTGAAGAGAAAGCTGGTAAAATATTCAAATTTAAACTTTCTGCAGTAATTTGGCTGCACTTATCTTTGGTCATTGCTGCAGCAAAGGTCAAAGATTCCAGTCATTTAATATCATGGAATATGGTGAAGAATTACACAAGGCACTATGTTTAATTGCTGTCATGTACACATGAAAATTAAAAAAATTAATCTATGATTCAGATCATGAGACTGATTCAAATTTACCAATGATTAACATTAATTGACTGCAATTCAAATTCAAATGTAACAATTGCATCCTGTTTCCTCAAATTTTTGGGGGAAGGAGAGAGGAGCTGGTTTAAAAAAAATAACGAATTTGCATTCACACGGCCTTTATTTTTAAAGCATCAAAAGGAATTAGAACTATCATATTGTTTAGTGTGCATATTCTATAATCCTTGTATTTTGTTTTACAAGTCATTACATATTATATCAGTAGTAAAATAATAATAATAGCTCTAAAGCTTGTCTCTTTCACCAATATAAGTTGGTCCAATAAAATATATTACCTCACACACCCTTCTCTCTCTAATACTGTACATTGGCACACATTAAGATCAATATATTAGTGATGATAGGAATGTATTTTCTTTTAGAAGGACTAATTGTAGGTTTGTGGGTGCTGAATGCCCAAGTAGCCAACACAGTAGAAAGAACTTCAGGACATATTCTAAGCGATTCTAAACTGCAGGAGATGACTTAGTAATGTAAGCAGAACTTTTGATACTCACTCTATCAGAAACCTTAACTTTCAATCCCGGCACGCTTGACTAAGACCTTCACCTACCAAGATAGATAAATGGGAGTACACCGCTACCTTGATATAATGCGACCCGATATAACACGAATTCGGATATAACGCAGTAAAGCACTGCTCCGGGGAGTGAGGGGGGCGGGGCTACGCACTCCGGTGGATCAAAACAGGTTCGATATAACGCGGTTTCACCTATAACGCGGTAAGATTTTTTGGCTCCCGAGGACAGCGTTATATCGAAGTAGAGGTGTACATGCAGTTTACTGCACAGAGCCTTTCACACAGAACATTAAAAACCAGTGTCCTATCAGCCCTAACTAGATACTTACGTTTCCACTGCACTTTTTCTTATAGTAGGATTTTGCCCAGCTGCATCTGCACTACATTTTTAAGGTAGGTTAGGCCCTTGGTTGCCGTGGTGAATGAAGTGATTCCTTTATGTATTGCAGACAGGCAAACATTTATTTTAGGCAAGGTGCTTATTACCATGAAGTCACTGGGACTGTTCGTAATAGTGCATAAACTACCTACCAGATCAGACCATCTATTCCAATCTCCTATTTCTGACAGTGGCCAATACTAAAGGCTTCACAGGAAGATGCAAGAAACCTCTTAGTGGACAATTGTGGAATAGACTGCTCGTAGGGAAAGTTTCTTCCTAGCCCCAGACAATTCATGGTGCACGAGGATTTATATACTTCATATGTTTTTTAAATTATATCTAATTTAAATGACCAGTGTTCTCGTTATCCTTACAAAATGTCTAATCTTTTAAAAAATACTACTTAGCTCTTGGTCTCAATGATATCTAGTTGCAATGAGTTCCACCTGCCAATTATGTGTTTTGTAAAAAGTATCTTCTTTAATTGTTTTTAAATTTCATTGAATAACTTTGTTATTATAGAGAAAGGGGGAAAAGGAGCACCTGGTTTACATTCTCTATATCATTTGTTACTTTGTATGCCTCTGTCATGTTGCCTTTTATTGATTTGTCCTCTCTTTAAAGTAAAAAGTCCCAAACTTTTCAGTATTTCCCCATCTGGAATTTTTTTCAAGGGGAGGGCTTACCATTGATTTATATAACAATATTATTATATTGTAGCATTATTTTTAAAACCTACTCCTTATGTATTCTAGCATTTTGTCTGCTTTTTAGACCGCTGCTGCATAATGAACAAAGACTTCCATTGAGAACCATGAGTACTACATTCAGTAGCAACAGTTGCAGGATCAGCCATAAAGTGCTATGGAATCCTTCAGGTTAAAAGGCATTATGATAAATATGTAAGAGGATTATTAAGTACAAATTTACCTATTTTCCATTTTAGATCCCTGAAGCTGCAAGTCACCATTACCCACTCCATGAGATGTCCCAGCACGCAGTGCACCAGCCACATCACATTCACCATTAAATATGCCTGTATCATAGAACCAGCAGAGGTGCTCAGGTAAGTGGCTGCCTTTTTACATTGTAGGGTTGTTTTGGTTTGTTTTTTGGGGGGGGAGGGAGGAATATTTTTCTTTCTGAACTCGTAATATGTGGATAAACATCAGTATTTTCTGGCTCCATGCTCTAACCTGATTTCTTTTGATGGTGACATCACTGGCAAACTATTATTATGGTGATAAGCACCCTAGTAATACCACAGACAGATGATAGACAGATATTTCATGAAATAAAAGTCTGCAATTTGTGACTGGGATGGTGGAGGGAAATAATAATAATTTAGATGCTAAATAACCTGGTTATCTTGCTACTTTTGCTAAATACTTGTAGATCAATTTTAACAACTCCATATACTTGTTACAAAATACTATCTGAATACAGAGCATTTTTCATGCTTTCCGTGCCCTCCATTTCAGTTCACACCACAGTGCACTGAAACATGATGCATGACGTGATCTCCAAGTATCCTCCAGACCCCATAACATGAATTGAAACTCAGGTGTCCAAAAGCAAAGCAGACAGCAGAGTGGTAGCCAGTAGGTCCATTGTAATATTTCCCATCTCCACATATTAAGGAGAAATAATTAGAAAACACAACAAATTGGGAGTAATCTCTTTTGCTTGTCTGTTTACTTTACATTACATTGTCTTCAAATAATATTAGGAAACTTAAGTCTCCATTATACAACAACAACAAAAATCTGACATTTATAAGTGTATTTCTGACTCCATAATGTATTAAAACAGTAACATGCCAACACAGGGAAGTCTTCAAGCTCCCCAAAGTTGGCATCTTAATGAGCATTGCAGCTCGGTGCATTTTGATACACCTCACAACATGGCAGCATGCATTGAAAGTGCTTCTGGAAGTTAATGAAAACATACAGGAATGAAAAAGTAAATTTTCCTCCATAGTTTATATGTTTTACTCCCTCCCCTCCCAATGCTGCTTAACAGAAAGTATTAACTAGAAAAAAATTGAGACTGTGTGATTGATAATAACAGAAAGAAAATTCAGAACAAAGGCTTACAAAAACAACCACTGCACATAGCCATTACAGTACTCGAAATATCATGCAGTATTTTTGGACACCTGTAAAACCTAGGTACAATGGGATGTATTTGTTAGCAGAGAGGCTTCATGATTTAGTGAGCTAAGCAAAGGCCTGGTAGTCAAGAACTACTGAGTTCTAATTCTGGGTTTGAGGGTGACTTGCTTTGTAACTTCGGGGAAATAATGACCTCAGTTCCAGTCTCCCTATCTGTAAAATGGGGGTGGATAATACTTTCTTACCTTCCTCAGAGACGTGTTGTGAGGATTAAGTAGGTGTTTGTAAAGCACTTTGAAGATGTTAAGTGCTGAGTATAAAATACCAGCTTTGACATTACAGAAAACACCTTAAAGACAATATTAATGGATTTGACAAACTGAGAAAGGGAAAATTCAAAGTTAAAGGGGCTTATAGCATTCACCCTAGTTTTCTATTTGATGAGTGATGTCTGCATGAAATACAGCAAGTGTGCCCCCAAAGAAAAGCAAGCAATTTTAACATGATCTGCTGCTGTAATAATCTCTTTTATTATTAATACTAGCTTTTCGTGGAGATGAAGTAAAAGAATCACATATTTGATTTTCTTGCATCAGAAACAAATAACTAAATGACCACTCAGGATTTCCAGTATGTGGCAGTTTGTGTCTCTCAGCAATAAGATTTTTTTTTAAAGCAGATATATGCAAATATCTCTGCTAAATTATATTTTTTTCTAAACAACAAATGTGCGAATGTCTCAATCTTTCAAGCCAACTTTCCCTCATGACTGACATTGCCTCGTCTTTATCATGTTCTAGACACCTCTTCCCCCTTCCCCCACTCTCTTAGAGCAGTATTTACAGAGGACATTGATTCTCTCTCTGCAGATATAATAGTTGTTTCGCTAGAGCTGCTTATAGCAATGTGTGTCACTCAGTAATAAGACATCCAATTATTTTTGGCCCTGTGAAGTATTACCCTTCAACTTGCAATGCCAAAAATTGGGAACTTCATTCCTAAATAAATTATTTTGTATTTGAACTTTTACTTGTAACACTGATTCTAACTGGTCACTTCAAACTGCAGCAGTTTAACTGCCAGGAACTGCTGACAAGCTAACATTATCAGCCCCCTAAACAAGAAAATCTGTTTTAACACCAAATACATTTTCATTCCAATATTTCATAGCACCATTAGTTAACTATAAAGAAACAAAGTTGTAACAGAGTTTGAAAATAAACGAGAGGGAAAATAATAAAGATATAATAGTACTGGCAGGAGAGATTTTTAAAAGCGATATGAACAATCTTTAACCTTTTATCTATAGATTTCCTGTATGAGACTTTTTCTGAAAGGCAAATAACTCTGCGTCACCCCTGCTAAAAATCTCTCAAAATAAAAAGAATTAACTGAAGCTTACCTGTACTGGAATGTCATATTTGTAATTTTTATCTTTATTTCCTCTCCGTGGCGAATTTCTCCAGTCATTTCAAAGAGTTTGTTAGCCATTTTCTCATAAACTTTGGCATTCCTTTTAGTTTGTTTCAGTTCATCAAAAAATTCTTCCCAAACCAGCATTAAACCTCTCATTTCTGCATCAGTCCAGTTTCTGGCCCTTCTGTGTTTCTCAGTCTGAGAAGAAACAATGTAACTGGGAATTTCTGCTGCAG